CTGAATTATTGCTAGACTTTATTGATGAGTCTGAGGTCATAAACAATGAGAAGGAACAACTGTCTAGGGAATATGTGATCCTAAAATCCAAGTGCAATAATCTAGAAGTTAGGACTAGTGAAAGTGATAAAAATACTAAGTTGAAGAACCAGGTTCTTCAACTTGACACCAATGTCTTTGAACTTAGGTCTGAAAATTTAAAACTAAAATTAGGAACAGGTAAAAAGAAAGTTGATCATACACATCTCACCTTAGAAGAAAATCTAGGAAAATTGATGGATGAGTTGTACAAGAAAGATGAGCAGATGAGAGTTCTAAAAGAAGACCTAGGCAAGGTAAAGCATGAACTAGATAGAACTTGCAAATAGAATAAGTCCTCTGATGCACTATCCTGGCTACAAGAGCACCACAGTAGCAACAAGAAAGGACTTGGCTATGGGACCCCAGCACCTAAGTGGGATCCCGAAAGCAAGTACATCACACTTCTTGAAAAAAAAAATCTGTACACACTATGGCAAGACTGGTCATTACAAAAGTGAATGTAATGCAAAAGAAAAGGCCAGTCAAAAGAACAAAACCTTTGTTCAAGAGAAAAATAGGCTGCCTAGATGGGCCAAAAGGAATTTAATTCACCCGTTTGCCTATAGAAAGGGACCCAAACTAGTTTGGGTTCCTAAAACTAACCCTTGATTTCGTTTTGCAGGTCCAAATGAAAGGAAGTAGCCAAATATAGTACATAGATAGTGGCTGCTCAAAGCATATGTCTGGAAGTAAGAACCAATTCCTTTCACTTGAAGACCTAAAAGGAGGTAATGTCTCCTTTGGAAATGGGAAGAAAGGTGAGATCATTAGGGTTGGAAAGGTAGGTAAGACAAACTCACATTCCATTGAGAATGTCTACTTGATAGATGGCTTGAAATATAGCCTAATCAGTGTATCACAACTGTGTGATAGAGGTAACCTGGTAGCATTCACCTCTACTAAATATTTTTTGATTAATCTTACCACCAACAAGATTGTTTTGCAAGGAAAAAAAGTTAATAATATTTACATTGTAGATTTATCCACTCTTTCAGAAAATAAATTTACTTGCTTGAGTGTGTTGGACAATGATCCCTCCTGTGGCACAAAAGACTTGGTCATGCAAGTCTAAATCAACTTAAAAAATTAGTCTTCAAGGGCCTGGTGATAGGGTTACCTAACATCAAGTTCAAGGAAGACAAAGTTTGTGAGGCATGTGCAAGGGGGGAAGTAGGTAAGATCATCTTTTAAAAGCAAGAAAATGGTAAGCATGACCAGTACGATAGAACTGGTTCATGTGGATCTCTGTGGTCCAATAAGAACATTGAGCAGAGGTGGTAAGAAATATGTGATGGTACTTGTTGATGATTACCCTAGGTTTACTTGGGTATTGCTTTTAACATCTAAGGATGAAGCATTTGACATGTTTACTGCCTTTGTTAGAAAAACTCAGAAACAACTATGTAATCAACTTACATCAATTAGGTCTGATCATGGAACTGAATTTGAAAATGATAAGTTTGTTGAATTTTGTGATGAGTATGGTATAGACCATAATTTCTCTGCCCCTAGGACTCCTCAACAAAATGGAGTAGTTGAAAGAGAGAATAGGACTCTTGAAGATATGGCTAGGATTATTCTTCTTTCTAGTAAACTACCCCATAGCTTCTGGGCAGAGGCTGTAAATACTGCATGTTACATCATTAATAGATGCATGACTAGACCTCTTGTAAAGAAGACTCCCTATGAGCTACTTAAAGGGAGAAAACCAAATATATATCCCATATTAGGGCATTTGGATACAAGTTCTTTGTGCACAATAATGGAAAGGACACCTTAGGTAAGTTTGATCCCAGAAGTGATGAGGGAGTATTCTTGGGATATTCTTCACATAGCAAAGCTTATAGTGTACAATAAAAGAACTTTGTGTGTAGAAGAAAGTGTACATGTAGTTTTTGATGAAACTAACATTTTTTCTGAGAGACAAGAACATGAAGATGAAGCTATTGGGCTGGTAAAAGAATTGAGTGAAGTCACAACACAAGCTGAAGATGCACCAAAAGAAGGAACAGGTGATGGAAAAGGTTCTTCTATCTAGGGCAACCTGACAAGGGGATCTGAACAAAGAAGAGCTGAAACCAATCCCCTAATGGAACCTATTGGGCTGGTAAAAGAATTGAGTGAAGTCACAACACAAGCTGAAGATGCACCAAAAGAAGGAACATGTGATGGAAAAGGTTCTTCTATCTAGGGCAACCTGACAAGGGGATCTGAACAAAGAAGAGCTGAAACCAATCCCCTAATGGAACCTATTGGGCTGGTAAAAGAATTGAGTGAAGTCACAACACAAGCTGAAGATGCACCAAAAGAAGGAACATGTGATGGAAAAGGTTCTTCTATCTAGGGCAACCTGACAAGGGGATCTGAACAAAGAAGAGCTGAAACCAATCCCCTAATGGAACCTATTGGGCTGGTAAAAGAATTGAGTGAAGTCACAACACAAGCTGAAGATGCACCAAAAGAAGGAACATGTGATGGAAAAAGTTCTTCCATCTAGGGCAACCTGACAAGGGGATCTGAACAAAGAAGAACTGAAACCAATCCCCTAATGGAACCTATCTATGAGCTTATTCTTCAGCAACAGAACATGGGAGAAACATCAAATAGAAACCAGTTGGTTGTGAAACCTTACAAGTATCAAAGTTCTCATCCTATAAAGAACATAATTACTGATCCAACCTCTAGAGTTAAAACTAGATCACAATTAAAGAATCCGTGTATTTTTTATGCTTTCTTATCTCTTATTGAACCTAAAAATGTTGCTGAAGCTTTGCAGAATGCAGATTGGGTAAATGCAATACAAGATGAACTCAATCAGTTTGAAAGAAGTCAAGTTTGGCATCTAGTTCCAAGACCCAAGGATAGATCAGTAATTGGCACTAAATCGGGCTTCAGAAACAAGATTGATGAAGATGGAACAGTTACAAGGAACAAAGCAAGGTTGGTGGTTCAAGGTTACAGCCAGGAGGAAGGCATAGACTATGATGAGACCTTTGCTCCAGTTGCAAGATTAGAAGCAATAAGACTCCTGATAGCCTTTGCAGCACACATGGAATTTACTCTTCATCGGATGGATGTCAAAAGTACCTTCCTAAATGGTTACCTAAAGAAAGAAGTGTTTGTCAAACAATCTCTAGGGTATGAGAGCAAGTAGTGTCCGGAACATGTGTACAAATTAGACAAAGCTCTCTATGGACTCAAGCAGGCTCCTAGAGCATGGTATGAACGACTGTCCAAATTCCTGCTTGAACATGGCTACAAGAGAGGTAAAATTGACAGTACTCTATTCCTGAGGGAAAAAGGTAAGGATCTTCTTATAGTACAAATATATGTTGATGACATAATTTTTGGGGCAACCACTGACAAACTGAGTAAGGAATTTGCCAAATTAATGGGGAGTGAGTTTGAAATGAGTATGATGGATGAGCTTAACTTTTTCTTAAGCTTACAGATCAAACAAAACCCAAATAGAACCATGATCCATCAGCAGCAATATGCAAAAGAGTTGATTAAGAAGTTTAAAATGGATGAATCAAAATAAATAGACACACTCATTGCAACAGCTACTAAATTAGACATAGATGAACATGGTTCATCTGTTGATCATAAGTTTTATAGGGGTATGATTGGTTCACTTTTGTAACTTATTGCTAGAAACCTAACATAGTTTTCAGTGTAGGGCTTTGTGCTCGTTTTCAGGCAAATCCTAAGGAATCTCACTTGACTGTTGTCAAGAGAATACTGAGATATTTGAAAGGCACTACTGATCTTTGCCTTTGGTACCCTAAAGGTAGTAACTTTAATCTAGTGGGATATACTGATGTTGACTATGCAGGTTTCCTTGTGAATAGGAAAATCACCTCAAGTATGGCTCATTTTCTTGGTTCATGTCTGGTATCATGTGCCACTAAAAAGTAGAATTCAGTGGCCTTATCCACTGCTGAGGCTAAATATGTTGTTGTTGCCTCTTGTTGTGCTCAACTGTTGTGGATCAAATAGCAGCTGATAGATTTTGGCATTGAAGTTGGTTGCATCTTATCTTTTGTGATAACACTAGTGCTATAAGTATGACAAAGAACCCAGTACATCATAAGAGAACTAAGCACATAGATGTTAGACATAACTTCTTAAGGGACAACTATGAGAAAGGATTGATTACCATAGAATTCTATGCTACTGATAAATAAATTGCTGACATCTTTGCTAAAGCACTGAGTAGAGAAAGTTTTAAAAGGAATAGGATAGAATTAGGGATGATTAAGATCACCTAATTGGACAAGCTTAGAATGCACACGAAAAAAATGACAAAAGAAGAGAAAAAAAAATAATAAAAAATTGGCAAGGAAATATGGAACTTGTGTAAATACCTACATTAATTTTTACTTAGTTTCATACTGTAAATAGTATACTCTTGTGACATGTGTTGATATGACTCACTGATCTTTAACAAAATTTTCTCTATTATGGTAATTTGAGGCATGATCAAGAGAATTCTAAATGAAGAACCTGGTTCATCAGTATTGGTCATCTAAAAAATGAGGTATGTTTTTTATACTCTGCACAATTAGAAATATAAATATTTAAATCATGAGCAGAGTCCTACCTATATTCAAACACATCAAAAAATCCTATCTGTTTATTTTTTGAAACAGTTCTGTCTCTACTAGAGCTCTTACCACATAAAATGCCTAAAATCTAGGGAAGCTTAACTGTTCATTCAACCTAAAATTTCAGGTTGATTAGGCCTCTAATTGACTGCTAAAAGCTACCGTTAGTCATTAAATAGGTCTATTTCTTTAAATACCCATCATCATCCTTTGCCACCCTCACTATTCCAAACCGTCAAAAATCTATTTCACTCTCAATTGTTCTTTCTTCCAAAAGCCTAACTCACAAACTCTCTCAAGAAGTCAGTTACAATGTCGAACCCTCAAGATAATCCAGGCACTCCTCCACCACCCTCCCCTTCTGGTTCCTCTACACCACATCCACCCAGAACAACCACTCAACCTCGGAGAAGGCAAGTAAAAATGCTTGCTCGGAAAACGGTGGCAACTAGTGCTCTTTCAAAGAAATTGTACAAGAAATTAAAGTTAAGCCAAGCCCAAGATTCTGAGAACTCAGACGATTCGTTCAAATCTGATAGTGAGGGGGAAGGAACTGGGTCTTTTGACTCTGAGAAGGCTCAAAACTCCCCTTCTAAGGTAAGTTCTACTTTGGGTGAAAATTCTGAAAATAGGTTTGTTTTGGTTGGGTCTGTCAGGAATGTGCAATTTCATGAATTTGGAAGAAGATGAGGTAAAAAGAAAAATGAAAAAAAAAAAGAGAGAGGGTGTATGTGTTGATGTGAGGGGCAAAGGGAAAGGATTGGCTGGTTCTTCACCCACTTTTGAATTGATAGTACCAGCTATCTGTGGGTTGAACATGCAAATGTGGAAGAAAGAGGCAAGAAATCAGGGGGAAGTGGTTCAGGGGAGGCTGCTGAAGGGTTGGTTAATCTAAGTTCACATGCAGATGAACCCGGTTCATCTATTGAGACCCTAGAATACCTTCTAAAGAAAGTAGATGCCAGTTATGATCCAAAGAAAAGGAGAACTCTAACACCAAAAGCCCCCAGTACTGCAAAACCTTCCAAGAAACGAAAGGCTTCCTCCCAAACAACTACTGAAATTCCCTTGCCAAAGGGAATATCCACAAGAAGTAGAGTGAAATAGAGTGAGAGTGAACTACAAAAGGCTTTGGCTGAAAGTAAGAAGAAGAGGATGGATAAAGGAAAAGGTAAGTTTCCAGCGTCCTCTTAAGCTGTTAATGTTGAGGAGATGGCACAGGTCCATCAGGAGGACCATACTACAACAGAGGTTCAGACCCCCAAGCCCAAAAGGACCAAGACTTCCTCTAAGAAGTCTTCATCTATGTCTAAGGCTATTGAACCTTCATTGGCCAAGAGGACAAGGTCTGCAGTGAAAAACAAACAAGTTAGAGTTTCTGAAGATGAGGAATGGAGTGGTGAAGAAGCAAGTGGGTCTGATGGTGAACAAGACAAGCTGGCCAAGTTTGGCAAAAGAAAATTTTTTATAGGAAGATTGCTGAAAGACTTAGTGGAACAAGGAATGATTCGTTTGGTTGATGTCCTAGCTGTTTAGGGCTGGAAGGACATGGTCCTTCAGATAGATGGAAGGCTAGCCAGGAATAAGATCATTGAATTCATGGCAAATTCTGAGGTCAAAGATGGCAGAGTCACTAGCCAAGTAAAAGGATTTCAAGTGTCCTTTGATGCAGAGAAGCTGGGAGAGATTCTTGACATCCCTACAGAGGGATATGATGACTACACTAGGCAAAGATGGTCAAGTCTGGATTCCTTTCCTCCTGCCCTTGAAATCACTAGGAGATTCTGTGATGTTGAAGAAATGAATGAGGCCAAGTTTGTGCACAAGAGTGAAATGAAGCCATGATACAAAGTCCTCTTTGAGTTTGTCAACAAGTGCTTACTGCCCAGGCAAGAAAGAAGGCATATTGCTAACTATATGGACTTAGTTCTGATGGAGTTCCTTGAAAGTGGAAGACAAATCAACTGGCATGCATTCATCATCAAGCTACTGGACAGGCTTATCAATGGCTCCAAGGCCCATGCCACCCCCTATGGATTTATTCTGACTACTGTTCTGGATCAGTGCAAGGTGCCTCTGAAGAAGTGGGAAATGGCCACAAGCAAGGACTACTTTGGCATTAATACTCTAATTGTTTGTGACTATCTAGTAAATGTCATTCCAAATGAACCTGGTTCTTCCAAGAAGACACCTATCAATAGTAAAGTCAGGGCTCTAGTTCAGGAAAGTGAGGCCAAGGATGTTGAGATAGCTAGGTTGAAGGCTTGCTTTGCAGAGGTTGAATCTGAGAGGGATGCTCTCAAAACTGAGCTTACCAAGTAAAAAGAGAAGAATGATGGGATTCTTCACAATATACTAAATCTTCTCCAAGCCCAAAACCAACCCTCTAGCTCCCCCAAGCCTTAGGAATTCTAGCCTTTATTTCCTGTACCTGTCTAGTACCATTAGTGACCTAGATTAGGGATTTCTCTTTCTTTTTGCTCATGTTTTGAATATTTTTGCTTTCTGTTTGTGGATTGTGGTAGCAACATATCTTCTATCAATGATATCTACTATTTTTGTTCTTGTTGACTGTTACTATTTCCTTGATAGTTTAAATATGTTTGCCTGATTTATTGATGATTAATCCATGATTGCACTTGCAGTTGCCCCAATGGACATGAGTACTTATTAAAATCTGGGACTCACACTTTGTTTATGCAACTTTCCGATGATGCCAAAAGGGAGAAGAGATATTGTGCTTTACATATTCTGAAAATGTGATATTTATAACCTAATTAACCTGGTCCTTGATGATAAGTGAAATTTTCTAAACTTTGTATTGATTAATAAGCTGAGTTCTTACAGGGCCTAAGTGAGTGAAAAAGCACAGAGTTTGTCATCATCAAAAAGGGGGAATTTGTTGGCCTAAGTAAATGTAAAGTTTTGAAGACTGGCAAAAGAACTCAGACATGGACCAGATCCATCTTGTGAAACACTGTCATGATCAACCCAAACATGTGAGATGCACGTGAAGGAGATAAATCTAACTTATCAGAAGTAATATCTCCTGATCATGATAAAAAAGGTTGCATATTGGATAAGGAGAAAGACTCCTTACACAAAGAGAACACAGTTTAGGAAAAGGATAGAGTTAGAGTATAAGATCAACTAGAACTCTTCCACCATGGAAGAGTAGCATCTGTATCCTAGTCAATCTCTATTACTAACCCCTTAATTATTAGTGTTGTTCTCTTTTACAGGTTATGCACATAAGCAGAAGTTCAACGTGAATTGAGAGCAAAATAGCAAGGCAATTTTGCAAGCAATTTATGTGTGATTCAAGTGTGCAATCATGAAGCTACTTGAACCAGATAGAAAAATCAGTTCCAAGTGTCTATCTTTTACTCTAGTTCAATTGTAGTAGGTGATTTTATATTGTACCTTTCAGCTTTTATAGAAGCAATTGTATTAGGTACTTAGAGTTTTCAAGTTAGAGTTAACTTGAAGTTGTCGCAACAGTTGAGGCTGTGTGCCACAACGACATTAGAGCTAATCCTAGGTTTACAAAAGAGTTTTTGTAAATGCAGTTTTTGGCTCAGTGATTTTAGTGGAGAGTTTGGGAAAATCCTACTGGAAGGTAGGTCGTGGTTTTTCACCTTTTGAGCCAGGTATTTTCCACGTAAAAATCTTTGTGTTCTTTATTTTCTGTACTTATTATTCCGCAACAATAGTAGTTGGAACACATAGAAAAATCAGGTACTTCTATAATCAAGTTAAGCGAAAATTGAGTACCACACAAATCATCCCCTCTTGTGTGGTATTGAAATATAAAACATCATTCATGGTTGACAAAATTAATAAAAAATAATAGGGAGTTCGGTTAATATATTGGAAAAGGATCAAATTTGTGGTGCGAAAATTAAGATAACTTTACTATTCGTTAGATGTTTAGTCTAATCCGTAGAAAAAGAAAATCTTATTTTTTCTCTTAACTCCGAATGGAGCTAGGACCTAAGGGTAATTTTATAGAAAAGAGGAAGTTTGGAGTTGGCGCCGGCATAATGAATTGCTTGCTTACCGAGCTATCCCGACTTTCACTTCTCCAATTAAATTATTTTGTTTTGTCTCATCCAAGCAAGGGGAAGAAAACCTAAGGTAGTGCGCTAGCACTTTTAAAAAATACGAATGCGCTAAGGCGCAAATGTTTTTGCGCAACTTTTCTCTTTTGGCAAGATCGAAAGAATACCATAAATCGAAAATAAGTACTTTTGTAGACTTATTTCTCCTAGATTACTTTCCAGCTTTTAAGAAGCATCCAACATGTACAAATTACAAAACAAGTCGCGTACTCAGTTGCATGTGACAAAAACATGCAAATATATATATATATATATATATATATATATATATATATATATATATACTTACTTTCGACTGCGTTTTCTAATTCCCGTGTGTGATCTAAAGACGGCCCATCGACAGATTGAAAAGGCATTTGTAACATTTTTCTATGGGGATAAAGGACAATAAATTGGGTGATATAATAAGAAACGTCGTCTACAACAATCACTTTAGTTTGGAAGAGAGATTTATGGATATAAAAATAAGATGGATGAACAAAATTCGTGGAGGATGGTAAATTGAATTTCTTCCTTTTGGCAGGATAATAGCTCGAATTTAGGTCCTGTTTTTCGTCAAATTTTTTAGATCATCTGGATGTTTCACCTATCAAATTTTTGACATGTCATTATTAGAAGATATACAAACAGTACTACATATACTAATAAAAGGAATTGGTGCAGAAAAAGTTCCTTCAAGATCTCCATCTTCACGTACAAGGTTTTACAAAATCGTCATAGATGATAACATTGAGAAATTTCGTTTTTGCATTGTTTTTAATTTTCATTCTGGTAAACTCAAGTAAAGATAATATTGTTGTTGTTATGCCTGTATTTGTAAAATAATAATTATGGAAATTAAAACGTTAGCTTATTAATGTAAATATAAATGATATAAATGAAACACAAATTAATTCGAGCCCACTGAATTCACAGTGTTTCCTTAAGGAATTTAATCCCCTCCTAGTACCCAAAGTTATGGATTATTCCTCCCAGAATAGAACGAATTACACACTGGTGTAGCGGTACTTCAAACCCCAATGTTTCAGCGAACACAAAGTTCGACAGCAAATCACACATACTGTTGCTTTCTTAGTAGTTTAAGACAATGCAGAACAAGGGAGGAAAACTCAGAAGTCGAATGGAAATTTTGAGAGGAAGGAATGCAAATTATAGCCAACGTTGAGTTTTCGGTGAAGAGAAGATCAATAGCTCTCAATTCTGTTTTTGGTGTGTAATTCTCCAACTGCTGCTGCTCATATTTATAGCAGTCAGTTGTGAGACCCGCCCCCTCTCCATGGTGGAGCATGCACTAGCTTGTTATGGAGCAAGCACTTAGCCATGTTGGGAGGAGCACTAGGCGGCTGCTATTGCAACTGGTGGTACAATACACGGATTGGAACATATCCGTTACAAACACGGATAATATTACGTTAATATTTACTATTAATAAATAAATTTGGTCCGAAGCCGTAGCCGAGCCGAGCGAGCGACGACGACGGCGCGAGGCTTGCCTTCTTCCTAACTCTTTAAGAGCTACATGANTCAAAAAATTAATCAATCAATCATTTCACCAAATCCAAATCCAAATCCAAATCCAAAGCCGTAGCTGTAGCCGAAGCTGAGCCGAGCGAGCGAGCGACGACGACGGCACGAGGCTTGCCTTCTTCTTAACTCTTTAAGAGCTACATGAAGTGCATTTGTATATAAACCCACCAAACTCCTTTTCCTCTACCAATGAGGGACAATGTCTCATTAAAAGGAGAGGGAAACTTAAAATTTTACTCAAAATTTTCATTTCCCTCCATTTC